TATACCAGTTGCTTACAAACATCCTTTTTTATGGAAATAACAAATAAATATGTTAAATTCGGTATAAGAAAACATAGATTTTATAACTATAAATTTTCCTGTGAAAATCCCAGCGTACATTTTGCAGATATATTTCAGTTAATTTAAATATTTTTCCTGTGTTGAAGAGTAACAAAGAAGAAGGCGCTGGGGCATAAATAAGTTGGTCTATGGAGAGCGTTCGGCACCTGGCCATTGAGCAATCAAATTGTGCGAATTCCGGCAATTAGAAGAGCTGGCTGAATGCCTTTCGGAATCCTGAAGAGCTCGGCAGGATGCTCATTAAAACAGAAATGGCAACAGAAATATGCAAGTGATGGCGGGGTGAAGCAAACAAAACCAAGCTGGACATTCACGGCATCCCTGGTTTCGAGAAAAGTCGCATTTTTGTATTTCTTAGCGCTTTCCTTTGGTTCCGTCTGCCAGATTGTCGAGAGCAAAAGCCTTGAAACTGTCAACTAAAAATAAATCGCAAAGAGCTCGCTATTCTCTCTTTCGCTACGAAATATAATAATTATAATTTTGTGTTTTCATTTCATGCCGCCAACCAGATTCTTTGACTTTTATATGTTTTATTTTTTATTTGACTTTATATGCTCAACATGCGGCTAAGCACTCTCAGTTCTATAAATTTTGCGTTCAGAAAACACTAAATCCAATGCTATATGTTTATAGGTATAACGAATTCCGCTGGCACACGGAATTACAATGGAAAAGTGGAAGGCAACCATAAGTTAATATACTTAAGCTGCTTAATTAAATGAATTCGGAAAAAATGCCTGCTGTCGAATGAAATATGGCTAGAGCTATGGTGTCGATTTATAGAGGTTCTTGAGAGGTTTTCCCTCATATCTTGTTTTATTGTTGGATTGCTTGGTGCACGTTGAACATATAAATCTTGTGTATTTTTAGAGAGCATACAACTTATTGTCTCTTTAATATTTATTTAATTCCACCACGTGCAGTAAATTAGCAGTAAATTATTGGCATACCATTTATATTAAATATTAAAGCAACCAAATAGCCATGGAACAATAATGTTCACAATTCGCTTCAAGCCAATTAGCTTAGTTGGTCGCATAGCCAAGGAATTTATGCATGGAATTCGTTACGAGCCTAATTAATAGTTACCACCTGTTAAACTATCAACATCATGTTCACATCCGTTTCAATCAACCCACTTCAATGGGAAACACAAATCTGCTCAGCACATGCCAAAAATCCCAGCCAAATGAAAATGACACAATCCAGACAATCTGGCGCCCAAACTAAACATGGATTTTCCACACCAAGCCAAGTGCACTCATGAAGATCCAACAAAAGAAAACTAGGGAAATGGCAAAACAAAGGGGAAAACGGATGGCAAAGAAGCATTCCACATGCAAATTGCTTTTGGAATAATTAAGCTTAATGTCGCTCACAGAATGAAACATTAATTGAAACTATTTGTCGCTCAACGTGAAAAGTGAAAGGATGCGACGTGTCTGTTCTGTTTATCCTGGCATTGATTTGGCCATAACACACGGTTGTAAATAAAATCCCGCTCAATTATCCACATTTGATTTAATTGCATCGGCACTTAAAAGTGCAATTAGCATTGCCAGCACATGAAACTGGAAATGCAAAAAAATGAAAAACCCATTTATGCCCTAACTGGAAAAAATCGTACGGCCCAGTCAAAGTTCACACAATTGGGCTCAGTTCTTTTTTTTTAAGGAGCTTAAGGGTTTAAAGTTTTGTCGGATGGCTGGCATGTAGATTTCAGTCAGCTTTCAGTGGCTAAGCCGCGTAATCCGAGCTGTATTTATGGTTCTTTCAGCCATTCAGCATGCTTTAAAAAGTGGTTTCCCCAAACTGCATTGAAATTTATGTTCGCTTCGATTTAGTTACTTTTTTAATGTGTGCTGCAGTGGAATACATTCTAAACAATTTAAAAGCACCATAGAACAGTAAAAATAAATTAACTTAAATAAGAAATAATTTAAGGTTTTTCCGTTTTAAATTGTATTGGTAGCCGTTTTGTTTAGCATTTTCTGCCTAATTAAGGTATTCCAAAAATATGGACAGCACGTTCGAGAGTACTCAACCTCCTCGAAACGCTCTTTGATGTTGTTTGTTTTTCCGGAGAACATGTGAAACAACAAAGCCGATAAAAAAAAACGCCTACCGCAGTAACAAAGACCAAATGGCAGTGAAACTGAAAAGCCTCTGTTTTCCTTTCTCCGTGTGACAAAAAGCAAATGGCTGGGCATTCCGAATACCAAAAAAGCCGCCATAGAGGCTGTGAGGAAAAATTGCTGGCTAGGATCGACAATATTTTTTTGCTCAAACTGGGAAAAAGCCGTTTCGGTACTGGTCGTGTGGGCGATTTACCAATGTCTGGGCCGTAAAGAGTAAATGTGTGAGTTACCCGGAGGCAGAGCAACTAAGGCAGGACACGTGTTAGCCGTCAGGAGTGGCAAAAAGGGTCAGAGGCATTAAAGATAATTGGCCTTATAATTGCCCGGACAGTTGCTGCTGCTGGCGGAGGAGAAAGTCCCCCAAAAGCACTTCAATTCTCGCCTCTAATTGAGATAACCGCATTAGGAACCCAGGGTCGAAACAATGAAACCCAATGGAGCTGTATGGGTCAGTGCTCAACGACACCTGCATACCAATGGTATGCAAAATGCCGAATGCCACAAAATCGCTGACCACTTAACATGCAAACAACTGCAGCGGACACTTCAGTTAATCAAAATGCTGCTGCTGCACAGAGATAACAAATGCAAATTCACCAAATATCACGCATACGCAACGTGTGCCCCCTTTGCCCTCTGTCCATCCCACCCCCTCCCCAGTCATTATGGTTTTCTGCACTCTGCGGTTAACTGAGCACGACCACAAACATCACAAACACCCAGTGCCACAATTACATGTATCATATAATCAGCAACAGCAATTGCCGTACTCTTTGTTTCACTAACCTGGCCGTAAATTACGTCAGCAGTGATTCACAATCGCTTTCGGCATGGGAATCTATATTGATATCATTATACAATGGGGGGATAGGTCGCACAGAAGTCCTGCTTATGCCCACTGAGGGAAAAGTAATTTAATATAATTTAAGCACATTTATAAAGTGTATTTAATGTGAGCGTTCCTAGATTCCTGTTTTTTTTCTTAGCATCTAAAATCGTAATTTGTCTTATACAATATACAACATCTATTGGTGTTTAATGTATTCAATGTTGTTTTATAAGATCTACTACGTTTTTTTTGTCAGTAAGCCATTAAAGATACAATATTATATGGGCGTGTGGTTTGACTGATTTTCTTGGCCACTGGAAGAGCTATCAGTCTCCGCTCGCATTTCGGCCCCATTCTTGGTGTATATGTGCCTTGTTTGTTGACCAAATGAGTCGATGGTGTGTGGGGAGTTCCGATTTCGGTTTTGGCCACTTAAGCTTGATTGCTGTGTCAAAAATGTGGCATTCAATGGGCGCGGCGGCGTGGGAATTCGTGATATTTACACGTGGCAACGACGTATTTAGTGCGGTCCGAGGCCCATAAATGATTTAGGGAACACACTTGTTGCCAGACGGTTCGATAAGGGCCGAGAACAAATAAAGTGAATTAAATCATTAGAGTGTGACAAACACAGGACCTTCATTAAAGGATAATGGCCAATGGAAAGCGACACGCTTTGTTCAGCAAAAACCAATTTCAATGGCAATTAGGGGCAATCCTTTTCAGGACACGAAATTGGTTTCGACTAATGTGGTGCTAGTTTTTGTTAGTTCTAATAATGGAGATTACGAGCTGTGTTCGATACATATATTTTAACTAGTATATGTGGTATCAAAACTGGCACACTGATAGCAACGACTTCATTATATTTATAAGCAGATAATTTGTATATGAGCGATATATGATATAGATCCGTAAATAAACATGGTGTGTTTTTGCAGTATCCAAGAGCTGATAATATTTAATCCAAACTAAAAATATTAGCATTGAACGTTTCTGTGTCTATGTTTTTCCTCGCCCTCTAACTGGAATTCCCCTTTCGAAAATTGTTTTAAGATATTCCAAAGGGAGATGTTAACGCGCCCATCCTCCGGCATTTTGGAGTAGTTAATTTTCTATACGGAGCCAAGAGCACAACAAATGGGCAAATCAATGAGAAATGTAATAACCTTGTTCTAATTATAGAACTAATTGTTACAAATTTACCTGTAAAAGCAGGCATCAATTAGGCTTCCTTTTAAAGAACAGCAGCATGGGGGCAGCAATTGACACCAAAGGCATTTATAATGAGCACAGAAAATGTTTTGGCTCCCCGGAAAGAGCACATATATCTTACTTAGTTCCACACCAACAGCCGAGCAAATACGTTTGTTGGGGGAACAGAAAAGGAGAAGCTTCTTGTTGTTAATCGATATAACCTAAGTTACCTTCCCAAGCACACTGGAAACAAATCCTGCTTCAAATATGAGTACTATAATTTAAAATAATGTTGTTACTGTCATAAAGTATTATTAGCTTATTTAATTAATAGCATTTTTTATCCCATCAGAATAAACTTTAATGATGCAACTTAAGTGCAAATTACAAAGATACAAATGATATGCACTTAAATTCAAATTTCACAAGTTTTTGCGGATTTCTTTTTATAAATAACCTGCTCATTAATATTTATTTCAGTGCTCAGCTAGCAACCTTGTTTAAAATGACCTTCCATTTTTCATTTCCTATTTTGCAGCTTAAAGTGCCGACGGCGCCGGGTGGAAGCCAGGACAAAGGACATCGTCATCAGGTGCTCGTGACCTCTGAACCGTGCAACAATAAGTACCCGACCTGTGGCCGCAGAATTGATGTTCGTGCGAAAGTTTCACGTCGTCTGCCTAAATGCTGTGCCCACGATTCCAGTAGGGTTAGGCTTACGAATCGGGGAAGTGGGTCAGTAGACTCCGGGAGCCATGAGTGGGGCAGCGGTTGCGCGGCTCCTGCTCCGCTTGGAGCTACCCTCGCCGGGAGTGATGCCACCACCGCCCACGGACTACGACTACGGCGGACCCATCAGCGACGATGAGTTCCTGGCCAGTGCGATGGCCACCGAGGGCCCAACGGTTCGCTACGATCTGTTCCCCCAAAACCACAGTCAAACCACTCTGCACATCGTCCTCAACCACACGGAGGTGCAAACAGATCTGCAATATCCGCACTACGACGACTTGGGTCTGGATCCCGAACCGAATTGGACGCGAATCTGCGAGGATGTGTACAATCCACTGCTGGAGAACAATCGCATTGAGTTCTGGGTGTGCGGTGTATTGATAAATATCGTTGGTGTCCTCGGCATACTGGGCAACATAATCTCCATGATAATCCTCTCCAGGCCGCAGATGAGATCCAGTATCAACTACTTGCTCACTGGCTTGGCCCGCTGCGATACGGTGCTGATTATCACCTCCATACTGCTGTTCGGCATACCCAGCATATATCCTTACACGGGTCACTTCTTCGGCTACTATAACTACGTATATCCGTTTATATCGCCGGCGGTATTCCCTATTGGGATGATAGCACAGACAGCTAGTATATATATGACTTTTACGGTGACTTTGGAGAGATATGTAGCCGTTTGTCATCCTTTGAAGGCGAGGGCGCTCTGCACTTACGGAAGAGCTAAGATATACTTCATAGTATGTGTGTGCTTCTCGTTGGCCTACAATATGCCCAGATTTTGGGAGGTCCTGACTGTAACCTATCCCGAACCGGGCAAGGATGTAATACTCCACTGCGTCAGACCCTCGAGACTTAGGAGGTCCGAGGCGTACATCAACATATACATACACTGGTGCTACCTGATCATAAACTATATTATACCCTTTCTCACCCTAGCCATACTAAATTGCCTGATATACAGGCAGGTGAAGCGGGCTAATAGGGAGCGCCAGAGGTTATCCAGATCAGAGAAAAGGGAGATCGGATTGGCCACAATGCTGCTGTGCGTGGTAATAGTGTTCTTTATGCTCAACTTTCTGCCGCTGGTGCTCAATATATCCGAGGCCTTCTACAGCACCATCGATCATAAAATAACAAAGATCTCCAATCTACTGATCACCATCAACAGCAGCGTCAACTTCCTCATATACATCATCTTCGGCGAAAAGTTCAAGCGCATTTTTTTACTCATTTTTTTCAAGCGCCGCCTGAGTCGTGACCAACCGGATCTCATCCACTACGAGAGTTCCATATCGAACAACGGCGATGGAACTCTGAACCACCGATCCTCCGGCCGCTTCTCGCGGCACGGCACCCAGCGGAGCACCACCACCACCTACCTGGTGGCCACCGGAGGACCAGGCGGTGGGGGATGCGGTGGTGGCGGTGGCAATAATTCCCTCAACAATGTCCGACTGACCCAGGTCTCTGGCTCACCCGGCCTGGTCAAGATCAAGCGGAATAGAGCTCCCTCGCCTGGTCCAGTGGTCTACTTTCCCGCCCGCGAAATGCAGAGATCTGCGTCCACCACCAATTCGTCAACCAATAACAATACTTCCATTGGTTACGACTGGACCTTGCCGGACAGCAAAAAACTGGGACACGTCTCCTCCGGATTCTGAGTTTGTGTCCGGGTGAATGCGATTAGAATGGGTCACTGGGAAGGGGTGGACTTAGTGCACTAGTCTTGTAAATATAAATAGACACGGAAATAGGGTGTAACAAACAGCTGTGGTCAAAATAAGGATTTAGTTGAATTTAGCTAAATGTAACATTTGGATTTTAAAGGAGATATGATTTCCAATCTTTCTAATTTAACTTATGATAAAACTACCTATATTTAAATTATGTGTGAAAAAAGTACATGCAATTTTACAAAAGAATTATTATTTTAAAACTTATTACCAAATAAATATACAAATTCGTTGGCTAAATAATTATTTGATTGTAAAAGGTAAACGTAGCTTTCTAAATTTAAAGTAAACAATTGCAAAGAGGCTTTAGTGCCGAAGAATGCTTATATTTTGACCGTAGTTGTATCTACTAAGTACTAGTTTGTACAAAAGGCATAAACTAAGCGCTCCAAGCGTTGCGTTACTTTGTGATAAGCGTTAAATGTTTCCTTTACCAATTTCTCTACTACTCCTCCAGAACTTAACTCGTTGATATAGATTTTAAGAAAGTTAGTTTCAGTAGCGACCAGGCTGAAGAAAATAGTTTCTTAGACTGAGAGTTTAATATGGTTCTCCTGACGTTTTCGCATCATTTCTCTGGTTCAATGAATTGAATTTGTATCAATTTCGCACTAAATTAGTCATCGAAACTTTTCCGAGCCCAATATCGTTTCACTTTCTACTCGCCTTTGTCCGAAGTTTTATTTATTAGCGTAAACTTTAGCTGCCTTTAATTAAATATCCTTTACGACGCATTTCTCGGCCGAACTTGATGAATGGTTTTCCTTTTCTTTGGCTGATTTGGGTTTTCCGAACTTTTCGATTTTCCACACTCTTTCCCGGAAACTGGTGTTCTTTGGGTGCAAATGTACAAAGGCCGGGCAATCTGTCAACTTGTCAGAAAGTTTTTAAAAATGCCGCTCAAAGTTCAGTCAGCTCAAAAGTTCGCCAGCATTATTTAGTCGCCCGAAAAACTCAAGTAGCTCAATTTAACAGCAAATGCAACAATAATAAACAACAAAAGCAAAAGACATTTTCAGGTGTTCACAAAAGAATTATTTTTATTGCTCCTTGGCCCCTAAAATATATAATACCCAATATACTGTGTAAATACTTTTAAGAGTTATGTATATACTTATGATCTAGTATGCCAAGCATAAACGAAAACCAAAGAGATTTAGATTTCAATTAAAGTCCAGGAAAGGGGATACTAAGTTATTATATTGAGATATGTAAATAAAAAATATTTATTTTCTTGTACAAATTATAATGTATTTTAATAAATAATAAAGCTTCTCACAGTTTTCAAATAGACTTTATTTTTATAATTTATGCTCATTAAATTCCGCAATTAATGTAATCAATTCTATAAATATTAGCCGATTAATATTCGTAAAAAGTTAAATAAACACTTAATCATCTGACGACAACCAATGATTTAGTATCTCCTTTTCCTAATAAAAATATACCTTAATCTAGACCTAGATTAGCTTTAATATTGTATAGTTTTAGTAAATACGTAATCGAAACTAATTTAAACAAATTCAACGATTGTGCAAATAAATGCTGATGAGAAATCCGAAATGCTTTTAGTGTGCGAATATATTACCCCATTTTGCGGGCCTGATTTGCATTGATTTTCAGATGTTGCACCGCAACTGCCACAGCCGCCATAATAGCCAAAGTTTACTAGCCAGACACAGTTTGGAAAATGATAACGAGCACTTAAGACGGCCACTTGCAATTCAATTTGGCCTGGTCCTGTCGGATAATTGCCAACGCAGTGTCAGGCCGTTGGGAAAATCTCGGTTCTTGGAAAATCTAAACTAAGGGGGAGATTAGAAACGAGTGGGCGGTGGAGGAGGTCCTGGCGCATTTGCGTATCTTATGCTAAGCACGTTGGCAGGATGTCGACTTTGGGCAAGACAGTCGGGAAGTCGGTAATAATGCTCGACAGGCTCACAAAGGAATTTAAATAATAATAACCATAACAATAAGATACAAACACACACGCACGCGGGGGTGGGATGGGGTGGTATGGGATGGCAAGGTCGACTTGCCCAGGTGCCAACCCGCCGAGGAGAATTACGGTCCGCACGTGAGCCCCAACCTAATAATGGATATAAGCCGATACGAGATAGCGGCAAATAATTGGAACCAGGGGTGCCAACAAAAGCACAAACCCATTTAAAGTGGATATTATTGCATGTTTCCTGAAACTGGCGTACACATATTCGTGTTCTGTTGCTGATATATGGTTTTAATATACCCAAATGATATGCAAAGCTCTGCATTGTGAAGCAACTAATTGAGAAAGGTTGCCAGTTAAATTGGCAAATAACTTTAATTGCTAATATCAGTCAGGCACTGTGATTTCATCTACCTCAAATACTCTTTTTACGGAATGTTAACAGAAAGCTATGTATTTGAAGCAGGAAGTTTGAATCCCATCCTTTTTATGTGCCCCTCAGTGAGAAGTCCAAAGGTAAGCACATAATTAGAGGTATGAGTTCCACAGGAGCCAACTCATGAAATACTTTAATGCCTCGGGCTTACCGATTTGGATCTCTTTGTGGGTGCCAAAAACAAAGGCGCCGAGGAAAGTCTATTGTTTCTGCCAGCACTGAAGTGTCACCACGATGGGGCGATAATAAATCAGCTCCGGATAATGTCAACACCATGGCCCCGGCGACCCCGAGTAAATATTTCTGCTGATGACTTCGTCGGTGGTGTTGCCCTAACAGTTTGATGCGTTTTTGATGCTGCTGGGATTATCATTATTCGAGCTTCAAGTGGCAATGGGCCTTGGATTGAGTCTTTGACAAACGACAAACAGTTTTCTGGCTTTTTGCGGGACGAGTGGCATCGATGACAAAGTGTTGACCCTGTCGCGCTGTTTGCTAATTAATTAGCCGTCTTTTGTCTGAAACATCGAAGCTGTGCAGCGTCAAAATTTTAATTAATGTTGGCCATGTGATTTGCCGGAATTCCAAGTTCTCAAACTTCGCACAGCTTTCTCTCCTGGCGAAAGGACGACAGGACGACAGGACGAAAGTCGGAGACAATGGCAAACAATGCCAAACATCGAGCATCGTGATGCCGCGTAACAAGGGGCACTTGTTCGCCATCTAATACACAACTAAATTCCCCAGGCCCCACTTTATCCGCCGGAATAACAATGACGTGGGGAGCCGGAGGCGTCCTGATAGCTATCCACACCCGGGATCTGCACGTTAGTGCTAAGAGGAAATTTCGTTTCTCTTCTAACTTTTTCCTCAGCCAACGCACACTAAATGCTGAAGAAAAGATCCGCAATGCGGACTTAACTTTGGTGGTAAATTAAACATGACCACTTTAACAAGTGCCTAAAATGTTTCTTAATTTGATTTAACTATGAAATGCCCCCTTTTCTAAAGCAGCGTTTTTAGCAGTGCATCTGTATGCCTCCATTTCCTGAAACACTCGCATAATTAGCTTTGAACGGACCTCAATTACAGGGCAACGCAGTGCCTTTTCTTCATTGGATAGTTGACAATTGGATGGACAGATGTCACAGGCAGAAAACAAACAGTTCTCTGTAAGCAAGGCTCGGCATTTGGAATTGACAATGGCAGCTAGGACAAGAAAAATAGAATATAAAGTACTGACCCAATAAGACCGTGAATGGTAGAATGTTTATGCCTTCCCAGGGGAAAAAACTACTTATTTAATGTGTCGAATATATACTCACTTCAAGTATGAAGAGGATTTTCTGCTTAATTCATTCTTTATTCATTATATTTTCATCCATTTATAGCTAACAATTAACATTCGTGTCCAGCAATGACACCTTGGACAATTCGCCCTGAAAAACTTAGAAGCTTAGATGAAATTATTTAATTTAACAGAAAAGCCAGCATCTATTGCGTCAGCGAAGTAGGTACATATAATCTTAATCCAAAACAAAAAGCGCCAAGAAAGCCAGCATGATAATATTATAAAAAACCATAGAAAATACAAAGCCCACTCAACATGAGCTTCACATTATTTCCCCATTGAATCACAAAGAACAGCTGAAAACACACAAATAGACGAATATAAGTAGACAATATTTACCAATTGTGACATTCAATAACTTGGAAACATGCTGAACTGACACCTATCGCCGCGCCGCCAAAAAGGACGAAGAAAAAAGGACAATAGCACACTTTGCGACGCCGCTAAGTATGCCCCACGTCTTGTGGCCCATATATTTTATATGTGGCTCCAGCAAATGTCTGGCGACGAAAAGCGTTTTAAACACACCAGAGGCGGCGTGTCCATGGCAGCCATTTCGACTGCCAGATTCAGAAAGGTGCACTCAAAAAAATACCAGTCAAATGCCATTTTAAATAATTGTCTTACGCCCAATTGTCTAAGAGCAGAATATACACATATTAACATATTAAATAATAGTTTAGGTGTATTGAACCTGTCTGGCTTTGACTTTTTTTCAGTGCAGATATTGACAACATTTTTCGACTGATGAGGAGCAGCAGCCCAGGCCGCATCTGTCGACCACCACGACGATGACAATGGCGATGGCGATGGCGATGAAGTGTTGAACACACCGTGGATATATTCAGTTCAGCATTTGTGTGGTTGCTATTGGGACTGCAAATGTTCGACTTTTGACAAGGGACCGAAATACCCGGCAAAGGAAAGGACAGGGCCCAGATTTGTGGGTGACATTGAAGACAGGCCGCTTTTGGGGTATTGATTTTATGCAGCATTTGTTTGGCAATGATAATTTACAATTTGTATGCGGCCTAGCAGAGGAACTCCAGCAAGTGGCCCAGACTGGGAAGGTAGGTGTCCGGCACTAAGACCTTCTTTTTGGGGTCACCCTCCTCGATGATCTGCTGCACTTCCTTCGGGGTATTCACACCACTGCCGACCATCAGCGATTGGAAACCACAGTTCGCTGCGAAATGCATATCCGTCTGCAGTCTAAAAGAGAAATTTGTTATAAAATAAGACATAATAAATAAGTAATTAAATTTGCACTTACGTATCGCCCACCATCAATGTGGTTTCCGGCTTTATAGCCCCGGACTGTACGAGTGGTGAGGCCATCCAGGGATTGGGTTTTCCCAGCACCAGGGGCGATCTTCCGGTAAAGGCTTTCATGGCCGCCAAGGTGGCACCGGCGCCCACCATCACCCGGTTGTTGCCGATGGGATAGGCGGCATCTAAACAGGTGCCCAGGAAGATAATGTCTGGATTCAGCAGATAGCTGCCGGTGCGAACCAGCTTGGCCATGTTGAAGCCCTCATCCCGGCCCACAATCACTGCTCCCACATCGGGATCCAGTTCCAACTCAGTGACGAACTCGTGCATGGGCTTCTCCAGCTTTTCGGACACTTTCAGGGAGCAAATTCCAAGTTGTTCCAGCTCCGCATGAACTCCTTTCTCGCCCATGACAAAAGCCTTCTTCTGGAACTCTTTGACGGCCAGGAAATTGGCACACGAGAAGGACGAAGTCAGTACACTACTTTTCTCGATCTCAATGCCAAAATCTTTTGCCTTATCGGCCATCTCCTGCCTTGTAATCGCCGAATTGTTGGAGATTATAAACGTCTTTCGGCCGGAGGTTTTTAGGTAATTGAAAGTTTCCACAGCTCCGTCAATAGCCTTCGAGAAGTGCCAGAGGACTCCATCAGCATCGCAGATCACGGACTCGAACGTGGATAGCCATTGGCGAACCCGTTGCTTCGGCAATTTGGTCAAATCGGTAAAAGTTTGCTTGAACATAGCTCGCCGATCGGATCGGATCGGATCTAGCGTTACTGTATTCTGTGTGCTGAGTAAAAACTAGAAGAAGCTTTGATTGAGTTCTAGGGAAAATTGATAGAACAAAAACGATGACCCAGCTATTGATTTTATTGATAATCCAATAAGAGATGCCACTATAAATCACAACCTATCTATTTCGCGAAGATAAAAAGGGCAATAGATTCGCTAGTTTTGGCACATAAAAATCCGGAATTTGCTGATAAAGTAATGGAGCCTTAGATGACTGGGCCTCCATGGCATCCTGATAACTGTTTACCCCGGTGCCCACCAACAGAGTTTGAAAACCACACTTGTAGCCCAAAAGGATATCCGTACTCATGCTGCGAAGGGGAAATGTTACTTACATACACGTATTTTAGAGTAAACTAATTTTACAAATTGAAACAACACTCACGTGTCTCCTATAATCAAAGTCCTCTCCGGCTGAATAACTCCTTTTTGCATTAAGTCGATGCACATATACGGATTGGGTTTTCCACAGATGAAGGGCATCCGTTGGCTGGCCGCCTGAATGGCAGCCACCATCACTCCGGCAGAGGGCACCAATCGTCCTGGAGCCGCCGGCAGTGCCGCATCGCGATTTGTGGCCACAAACATTACCTCACGACTCTTCAGATAGCAACACGCCTTCGTCAGCTTGATCGTATTAAAATCCTTGTCAGTTCCGACCACCACAGCACCCACATTGGGATCCAAGTAGATACTGTGGATGTGATCTGGCATAGAAAAGCCCTGCAGCGAGGAATGATCCAGGGGCAGGGAATCGATGCCCACCAACTTCAGTTCGTCGACGATCCCTTGGCCGCCCACTACATAGCACTTTTTGTTAAACTTTTTCTCCTTCATAAATTTTGCTAAAGCCTGGCCGGAGGAAAGTATCTCATCCTTGGCCACCAAAAAACTCATTTCCTGAGCATATTTGCAGATTCCCTCCACCGAAGTCACTGAATTATTGGTGCAAATAAAGGCCTTCTTACCCATGGCACGCAGTGCGTTGAAGGTCTCTGCTGCATTATCAAGGACCTTATTGTGGCTCCACAGGACACCATCTCCATCGAATATGATCGTGTCGATTGTCTTCAGCCACTGCTGTATGCCGTACCTGTTGAGGCCAAGAATTTGACATCCACCCTTCTGGACACTCCTATTTAGGGCCAAATTCATTGTGAATTCAGGTGGGGATTACGTTTTTGAGTGGGAAAACGAAAGGAAATTGATTATGTAGACAAAGCATTCACTTTCACTCCGTTCGAAGGAAGTATACATATATATTCCACAATAGATAGTGGGAAGTAGACTCTGACCTTTTGCCCATATACTTATGGCCTGAAAGTTGCAGCGAAACCGCAAGCGAAACGCTTTCGGGCCCAGAACTAGATTAGTTTTAAGCACTTTTGGCTACGAGGCTGTCGGAATCAATTGAAAGTTTTCTTCGGGTCTCTGGGTATCTGGGTATCTGGGTGGCTTGGTGTGCCGGCTTTTTAACTTTTCAGCTGTCGGCAACGAATCCCCGGCAAAATGTCATCGGCGACGCATTTAATTCACTAAACTTTGCACATTTGTTATTTGGAATGTAGGGGACTGGATCGGTCGAGGACCAAGTTGTGGTTCCGTGGCGTGGCCAAAGTCGCGGATAACTTTTAATTGTGCGCAATGAGCGAAGGCCAAGTCGAGCCGTGTATACGCCGGGAGCTTCTTGGGGCAACCACCCACTTTCCCTCCCAGGGGAGCCACTTCCGTTGGTGACGACACATTTTCGCTCTTCCACACGAACACGAAATAAAATAATGTATTTTTTAGAGGTCACAACTTTTCTTAAACACCTTTTTTTGAACCATATTTATAAATTACGCATAGTACATATACAAAATGGTACAAATAAATTCCAATATAATTAAAGATAGATATTTTTCTAAGTGCTTGCCACCGGCTGTCATTTGGCTTGTCCCGCTGCGCCAATTAAAATGGCATTCAGCTTCATTGTTGATAACGCGGTCGCCTTGAAGGAGCGCCTTTCAAGCGGCCCCCAAATCCGACACTTGTCCGGCTCCAAAGCCAAAGCCAAAGCCGGAGCCAGAATCCCGGATTGTGCCGCACCTTGACATAAATTCATTAAATCTCTGTTCCCTGCGGCACTTTCGCCCCGGGACAGCGAGCATTTAACGGATTTCGCTGGCTCTTTGGACGGTCCGTGTTGAATGGCCGCCGGTCAAAAGTGTGCACTACCCGCTTCCCTTCTCTTCGCGGACTTTAAAAAAAGCAACGCAAATTGGCAAACGAGCTGAATTTGTGGCAGAATTTATGGCTCCGCTGCCTGAGGAGCAAATCAAAAGCTAACGAGCGAGTTTTGTACTTGCCACCCGAACACAAAACGCGATTTTTTAAATTTCCTCGTGTAAATAAGGAAGAGTTTACACAACACTTATGCCAGCATATTTGGTGGAATTAATTAACAACGGAAATAAGTGGCTTTTTGTGTATTTTTGACAATGCTATTGTTTGGCTTGAGTATAAATTTAATAAACAACCAAATTACCAATGTAGAAAAGAGTTCTAAAGAACATTTTGACCAGCCTAATAAATCTTAAATGCAAATCCAAAGCTGTATGGTTGGTTGGTAAGTTAAATCCTATTTACAATTCTCCTGAAAACACTTGTCGCCTGTCTGCCTAGACTGGGCTTACAAAATGTTTTTTTTTTTCTGTTTTACCTGGCAAGAGTTTTTGCTAAGTGGGCAAGAGCACATGAAGCATTCTCAATTTGCTCAAGTGGAAAATTCTTTGGATTTGCCATTTGCCTAGATCTAAATGTGTTCAGGAATTTGGCTTAAATGTACATTGATAGCTGTGGGTGGATCCGAAAAGAATGCATTTTCCGAGTCGAAGGGAAAACAAAAACAGACGAATTCCAATCGCCAGACCTCGTGAGCAGCAGTAACAAATGAAATGTTAAGCGCAAAGTTTGCTGAACTCTATGCTGGTATTTGTTCGCCCCTGAACCCAAAACCAAAGACCAAGAAAAAAGAACGAACCAAGTCCAAACTTTTTTATTAAGTTTACAAGACCAAGTTAATTTCCCGGTCCCTGGGGCCAGCGCCTGTTCTTCCTAATTAATACCTTGAGACGAGGGGCTGCCCAGAAGTAAAGAATGAAACAAATCCACTTGATTTATATGCTAATCAAGCCTGGACTTTGTGCACAACTAACACTTCAGGCCATCGACAGTTGCTTAAGCAATATTAAAGCGAAAACGGAGCACCTACTGGCCACCAACAATGGGGTAACTTTAAATTGTCCCCTATCAACGAATAAATCATTCACAGATAGCATCATCAGCTGGGTCACAAGGCGCAATTATTTCTCCAGAATGGATTGCTCTCTTCAGGAGCCATTCTCACTTTCTGAAGGCCTCTGGTGCCGGAAAATATCCGTGGAAAACTCGAAAAGTTTTCACCCTTTTGAACATCATGAGCCAGATTTTATTATGTGTATGTATGAATTGAATTTAACAAGTAAGCATTTAATTTACACAGTTATAAATGACTTGCTGGTTCTGACCATTTTGTTTTTAGGTAAATAACCATAAAAGTCGATTCTTAAATCGTTTAATGCCCGTATTGTGATTTTCCGACCCATATACCCTCGATGACCCTTGAACTCGATACCCATATAATCTCCTCTGAGTGGTGAGTGATGGACAGGCTGGGGAAACAACAAGCTTCGGCTCTAAAGCTCTCTGTTGCATTTCACCAGCTTATGAATGCTAAGCAGAATTGAAGCGTTTTGCTGTTTTACAAATAAGGCAGTATAACCGGAAGGAAGCAGAAAATCATAAATACCAGGCAAATTTATATTGCCATGGAGACACTCACAAGTGTGTCAGACAATTATTCGCTCGTGCTACGGTTTAAACGGCTCAGACGAGATTGAAAAACGAGAATGGATGCCAGGATTGTGCATTGCAATCCAAGAAGAGGAAACACGTGTCCGATGCAGGACTAAAAATACTGCAGATATAAGGATGCTTCAGCATGTTCTTCATAGCTCTACATTCGTTGAATGCGACAAGAGTTTTGAACGAGCTGGCTTAAAATATCCAAGTGCTTATCCTGAGACACTCAATTGAACGTATTGAATTGTTTCAAGTTTTCATTGACTTGGTCTTGGACTTAACACCACTTTTGAGTTTTGCTCTTAATTTAAGTTTAATACATGTTAACTTGATAATTTGAAATATGCCAATATTTAAAAATCCAGTGTTAAAGCAAATTACACTCGAATCAAGTTAATTGCTTTATTAAATATTTATAAATTGAGTTAGCGTCAAAATTACACTTGAACGAACATAATTGCTTTATTAATTAGATATTTTAAACTCCATTAGCTTACTGATTTTTGCTTCTGGTCCTCAATGGCACCAATCTGTATGACGTTTTAATTGTATTAACTGCGATTGGCTGCTCGAATGTAAAATTAACTAAATGCCAATCAGAGCACCTTGTTCAGCTGCACAAAACGCAAAGACCAAGCTAGTGGCTTAAATGTGGGCTGGCCGTCTGTCGCCTGTCTCTTGTCGAAAATGGCCATGGCCCACGCTGCGTATGAGCAATGCCACAGTTTAAGCCTTGAGGGTGGCCATAAAGGACTCTCGTGGTGGGCGGGCACAGTTTTGGGTCCCACTGCGCTTGGATTAAACCAAATTGCAACACATTATAATTTGTGACAAAAGTGGCCTCGAAAATTCATTTGTGAGATCCAAGATTTGAGAGCTGGCAAACATGATACGAATATATATTTTTACGCACTGCTGATAGCAATGAGCCCAAGGCCAAAACACATTTAGCAGATGAATAAATAAGCTGAGCGAGATTGTGAATTTGTGTGGAAAGCTGTTGAAATTGCAGGACTTGATAGGTGTCGACTTCTGAAATTAATCGAGGTCAGCAAAAGTGTGTGACATTTAATAAGATGGGACAGGATAATAAACGTATATTTCTATAAAATACAAGCAATAATTTAATAGCACTTTTAAAATACCACGGCTTTGAAAGCATTTTCCTACGTGATTTCGGAGCAAAGCAACTTAAAGTTTCGGAACTTAAAGCTTCTGGCCTGCTGGTTTCCAATTACGGCCAGCAATATGTGTCACAACCCATTGGCTTTGCACAAAAAAGAAAAGAAACCACTCGACGCTGTGGGCTTGCCATGATGCCTTCTAATTGCTCTCGGTTTTCGTCCAGCTGTGAATGCCTGGTTCTGTCAATATGCGATGTACAGTACATCATGTGGGTGGCAAGACTCAGGTCAAACTTTGGCCATAGAAATGCAAAAAATAATCCCAAAATAAATTGGTATGCCTCGATTTGCTCGTTTTTCGATATACAATCAAATGGCATTCAAATCTGGAGATTTTATTTTTTTGGCCATTTTTGAAAAAATTGATGATGGTACCCCTTATAAAATTTTATAAAATTGGGAAAAAAAATTTTTTTTTTAATTTAATTAAAACTGATGGGGATGGTTAGTTTATAATTATTGGCTGTACAAAAAGTTATTTCTATAAGTGTGTGGCACTTTTTGACCAAGTTATGACCTAGAGCTGTACCGTTGCGGTTTGAGGCAAGTGATGATAATGATAAATATTTTCGCATATCGATTCACGGCTCAACGCGCGAAATAAATAGTATCGCATATTTCAGGCATAATTAAAGCCGTGGAGTCCGCCACACGCGACGTCAATCATTGTAATTTATAACGTAAGCAGAAGCGTAAGCAAACTTAAGCCATTATTTCCGCTTTACGGAATACAAGCCGCAGGCTGTGCTTTTGTTTTTGCCATCGCTTTTCCCTTAGTTTTTCCGCTGTTTACTGTTACGTTAGCTGTTGTGTTTATTTTATTTTCGCTTTCATTTCGTTTTTGCTGCACATTTGCATTTTGTTTCCCGCTGACCTCAGTGTTCCGCCTGCCGCCGCAAACTGCTGTCCATTTCATAAATCATTTGGCACACACACACACACATCTGTATGAAACACTCACAAGTACACTAAGATAAAAAACCAATTAGATATTAAAATATTCCTGTGCTGCTCTCCCTTCGAAATTTAATTTTATTTATTCGTTTCAGTAAATAAAATATTATTCAATTTTGCTAAATGCTGTTTATTGTTGTATTATTATTTAATCTTCAGTTTCAAGTGGAGTTTCAAATTGCCGAGCACTGATTTACGGCCCTCGACCGAAACTTACACATGCGCTTACATCTCCCAAGAGAAAGGAATATTAATTTTATATTTGTTATGTAACCGACAGCAATTGCCAACCATCAATATCAAATTAACCAATTACGCAACGGTGCCATTAAGCTGATTAAAATCAGTGCGCCCAGAAAAGTATGCTACAGAAACGTTTTCCTTTAAATTAAACATTAAATATTCGCTTGCTTCATATTCTCATAAAACAGATATGTATGTTCAGCATTTTGAGTGCCATAAAAGCTCTTTGCGTAATATCTAATGAAAAGCTATAAAAAATAAGAGTTTTGTTATAGTATGTTCGACATGATAGATAGATCATAACATTTTACTTTGTGATACCATTTTACTCCTAAAATAAAGCGTGTACCCTGCCGCGCGATTCTCATTGCGATAAATGATAAGCGCTTGGTAACAAAAAACATTCAGGCCAAGAAGTATAAGTCCTGCCAACGTGCCACGCCCACCTCCACTTCCGCCCAAGGGCTTTCTAATCAGCGCCCAATTGCTGACCCAAATTTTAGGCTTGGTATGACTTAGGCAGAGCCAAAAGCCAGCCATAGATGACAATTTAATAAAGCAAATTGAGGGGCTTGAGGCGAAAGTTTCCTTGGTATTTGGATTAATCCAACCCACATCCGCGTCCACATCCGCGTCCAATCCGCACCAGCCCAGCAGAGTCGTTAATCAATTAGTTAGCCGGTCTTAGACGATTGCTTTGCTGGCATGTGGATGTGCGATTATATATGTGTTGCCACTTAAGCTGTTATGTATTGATTCAATTCCATATAAACGATGCCCCGCCACGCGCAAATATAATTAATGATCAAGTGTCAACGGAACAAAAAACTTTAGTCATCTCGAATGCATTATGTACGGCGGTGTATTAAATTACATTTAGCAAGCGTAGCCAACTTTCACAACTCAAGTTGGTCCACGCGGATACTTGACCGTATCAACTTGGCTTGCCCACATTTATTTGCCGCCATTTGTTACGTTTGTTTATCCTGGCGGGGTATCCTTGATGTCAAACTACCAAGTCTGCTGATTTTTTCAGTGGTCTTCTTTAAGTTTCCCTGGATATTGAAACGTTCAAAATAGTTACATCGAGTTCATTAATCAAGTTAATGTCTAAATACATATTTCATTACGCACATGGACTGCTGGGCACTGGTAAAAATATAAAAAAACTTCTTGAACTAAAATGTATTTGTTATGTGATATGTTTTAAATAAATATAAACTAAAATATGCAAATGAATATATAAAACATTTCTAAAACGTGCCAAAAAATTTCCCTATTTCATTTTAATTACCACAACTGAGAATTTACCACAGCTGTACCACATAGTGCAAAAAATGCTGCACTCTATAAATTTATAGCCGGAGTCGCCGCCCCTGCAGCTTGAACACATTATAAATATTTACGAGCCGTTCGCTCGGGAGGATTCCGTGGAGGATACGCACATCTTGGTCGATGACGACACATCCGGCAGCCAAATGGCCAGAGTCCATTCCCGCAGGACACACGCCATCAGCTCCTCTGCCGATCGTTTCTCCTCCCGGTGGACAGAGCGACGCAGTGCAGCCGGAGGCATATTAATGATGTATTTATGGTGGCCACATGGGCGTTGGGAACTGGCTCGGCGGAACTGGCTCACCCACACAATTTACGAGCGTAGTGCATCCATCTGGTAATTAAAAAATAGAAAACACTACTCGTAAATGCTGATTAATGTGGATGCAATATAGCTGCACAAAATTTGGCTTCAAAAAAGAGGACATTTTGAGTACCTACTTTTTGTCGGGTGTCTTAGTACTCAGTTTCAGTTTAAAGTATATAATAAACTAAAAGTACCCTTAACTCGTCAAACAAAACAGCTGTCAAGCCCTTTCAACTTCAACACTTTTACAGGACCTTTAGAAAAGGAAACATTCCCCATTGACTATCCTTATGAGAATGCCCACTTAAAGTTTTCGTTCACATACGCATTACTTATTTGGTTGCCAATCTGTCAACTGTTTTACGGCTGATTTCCTGTGGAACGTGCTTCTGAAAACTAGAAATAAATCCTAGAACAACGTGCCCTGCCCTCCAACACCACTCCGCGTAAATACTAGAGGAGCTCCACAAGGTTGCAGCTTCAGGCAACTTCGTTAAGCTCCTCTGGCGGCGAACTCCTAGTGCACATGACACTCCTCCTAATTGAGCCATAAATAAGAGCGAGGCTTTATTTCAGTATGCCAAGGGTCCAGAAGTGTGTTTAGCAGGGAGGATCTCGATGTGCCTCGACCACAAAGTTGTAGATACCATCCTCCGTTTGCATCGGAGACTGTTGGGTGATGTGGAAGCGCTCCGTTTTTTGAACATCGTTGAATATTTTAACCACCTGCTGACGCAGCGGCACCAGCGCGTCCAGGGCCTCCTTGAATTGGCGGCCCAGCGATGGCTGGATATTGTCCACCATATGGGCAATAAGATCTGCGATAATCGTCTCCATATCGGCGGTGTTCTCGCGACCCAGCTTCCCATTGAGGTACAGTATGGTGTGAAGGTTGCGGACGAACTCACGCGTGCGGTCCGACTCGATCTTCAGGAACTTCTCATCTCCGGCCGTCTTGAGATCCTGTTCCGCCTGCATGCGACACTTCTGATAGACTTCGCTGGCGGGACGACCTTGCTTGGCCTCCTGCTCCTCCTCCTGCTTCTGATACTCGGCGAGGTATTCGTGCAGGACGCGCAGTGATTCCAGGATATCGGTATTCAAACGGTGCAGCGTTATCATGCTGGCCGCATAGCGACGCTGGAGATTCTCCCGCTGAGGAGTGACCTTGGCATCGCGACGACTACTTGTAGGACCCGCCTCCTTGCAAGCCTCGAAATCCTCATTCATTTGGGCCAAGTCCATTACGATCTTCTGCTTAACACCCTGTAGTTTACTGACCTTCAGCACGGACTCTAAGAGCTCCTTGTTGTACCTTTTGTTCCCGAACTTCTCGCTCTTGGCACTCTCCGATATAATCGAGGTCGATTTGTTGCCGCGCATTATGATGGACAAGGGAACAGTTGCGGTTTCCTGATCGGAATAGAGCCGCGAATCGGGTAGACTGAGTACGACTGCATTGCCATTTCTAGCGAACCGAACCAAGTAGGTGTAGTCCTGCGGATCATAGCCCATGACAATGCCATTGATGATGCCCTTGAGGGAATGTCCGTGCAGAAACCCACTGACCTTGGCATCCGCGGCCAGTGGCAGAGGAATTCGCTTGGGTATCTGGTCCATGTAGGCCATGTTCTCCTTGGAATTGAACCGATGCTGCTGCAACTGGCGGACAAGGCGACGTTGGCACTCCAATTCCTTGCGTTCCAGTTCGATGAAGGCGGGGGAAAATCGACGCGACTTTCCCATACTCCGGCGTACCAGCTGCCAACCTCTGCGGGGCAAGAAGCGGCATTCCAGGAGCGGACAGTACTCTGCTATAAACCGCTTCATATCGTAGCCCATGCCCAGGGTCGGTTTGTCCAGGAAGGAGTCCACAAACTCGCACCAAATCCAACGGTGAGAGCTGAGATACTTCAGGAAGTGGTACAATCTAAAAGAGCATGAATAGTTATCTCACGAATCTTCCCTCTTCCAACCTAACGCACCTCTTGCCAAGTACAGAATCAGTTGGGTAAGGTTCGACCTGCCCCTCATCGTCCTCCGAGAAGTCTTCAGATGTTTTGAACGACCCTTTTGAAAAGGCCGCAGTCCTCTTGGACGACACTTCTGGCTTAATCTTCTCCTGGATCGCTGGCTCTTCAGCAATCCTCCTGAAAGCGGGGCGTTTAATAAATAGCTCATCGTTTTCGCATTCGGCCACCAGCTTTTTGGGTTTCTTCAACTGACGACGCGTCATTCTATGAATGGTAGCACAGCTTTAGTTATAAATTAAGGCAAATAGCGAAAATATTACGTTGTCGTAGATAGTAATCCAATATTTGCCAGGAACTCGTTTTCCTCGCAGTTTCCAGATGGGATTGTTAAATTACCAATATATAGTGGGTCCACTGACATGCTGGCTTAGTCTACTAAGTTTTTCTTTAGTAATTTTAGAAAAGTCTTGTTCATCCAATAGTTTTTTTATATGTCAATTATGTAGTTGACATTTGACATATGGTCTACAAAACTGGGTTTCCGATATATTCCAATTTTTCAAGGGTTCCTGCATTTCTGCAAGACTATATAAGTTCGTTTTAAAAGTACTAGCTGATACATTACATTTGACTACTTTAGTTCTTACATGGATTTGAATGAATATTATCAATATTATGTCACAAACAACAGGCTACAATCGAATTATGTACATTGTTTTTTCCCTGTTAGGGAAATCGGTATTTAACCCACCAATTCCAAATTTTTTTTTTTTTCGTTTTGCTATTGCCACTTGCCGTTGATTTCCGAGTGTTGATTTTCCGAGTGAAATCTGTTGAATTGCATAACACAACAATGGCTGGCCAAATTCAGTTTTCCACAGAAGTAAACAGCCAAAGTTTCGCCGGACTGCAAGAATAGCTCCATGGTCAATGGCGGTAATGGCCATCGGGGCGCGTAATTAATAAAGTTTGCATACGACTGTTGCCATGGCTAAAACGGCCGCCAGCGAACTTCGAATTACGTAAGTGGATTCCAACATTATTAGCTGCGTACTTTTGGCCTAATTTCCATGCCTGTGATGTGGTAAGTACGCCCAATTTCAAGTATGCACTTAAAGAAATGTACAAAGGCACGAGGATTGTCATAGTAATTCAGCCCGAACACTGAAACACAAAAGGTAGTCCTTTACTACAAGCAAAATGTAACAGTGGAGATTGGTACTAAATGTAAACAGTGGAAATTGTGTGTAATCTCTATTCTACATTAGTGACATTTACTTAGGCACCTCAGTGTATGGCAATGGTTTTGCCCGCAAACTTTCGACACGTGTTGCGGTCGTTTTCAGGGAAAAAAGGAAATTGGATTCCCAGATATCCCGAGATCCAGACCTAAAGGAACTTAAAGATTGCTTCTGCCATCATGATATCGATTGCTGTCTGCACCTCATTCAATTTGCTGTACACACACAACATCCGGAGAATCGGAGACTGAAGGAAGAGATACCAATTTTAATTTGCATTCCTTTCACCTCGAAGGAGCAGCGGGTTGTCCTAATGCAGGACACCTGCAGCTCCTACTCACTTAATCAGCAGACAGACATGGGTGAGCCAGGTGGCTGGAGGGCCAGCAACATGCGTTTAAAATTAAAAATCCAGCTCTCCAGTTCCTGGATCACACAACAAAACATTGACATTGAACTAATGAAAGCTGCAGGCGACACGTGCCACGCCCACCTACCACACACCGCCCCCGCCCACCAAGGAGACTTTGCCCAGCGAAATGGGCGATGATACGTCGTGCCAACGGGTTACTCATGTGCACGACTTCATACATACTGTACATATGCGGCTTATTGTACCCTGTGTGGCGAATGTGGGCTTTTGGTATGGCTGGCTTTCAGCCTGCGGGCGTTCTTGCACTTGTCCAAAAAACTGGCTTTTGTTCTGGCTAAATGTTAAAAAGTGAACATAAAAAAGAGTTTGAAGAGCCAGCGGCATTGCAAATGGGAATGTGTGAATCAGAAGTAACCTAAAACTGTGTCAGAATGGTTATGAGAGTGATTACATCTTAGCAGAGAGAATAATTTCCCACTTTTGCTTAAGAATTAAATAAATAAAAAACATATATAATCAAGGGAAAATCGTTTTAGTGTAAGATAGTTTCGCAAGCTTGTCGAACCTAAATTCTTGAGCTGACAGCTTTAGCTTCTTGCTCATCTACAAGACAGAAACTGTCGCAGCGTACCCGCCCTACACTCATGGCTCTTACTGTGCATTTACAGTTTATGACAGTTTGAGGACATTAAAACTGAAGCAGTTTGTATCGCCGACTCCCAGTGGCCACATGTGGTGTAGCTGGCTTATCGCCACTCGCCACTTTCGTGGCCATGGAGCGCATTAATTGATTCGAGAGTTTGGCCTTTGAAGCGGGATTTTAGAACGGACATAACAAAGCCACTTGGGGGTCTGTGAAAGTCATTGACACTCTGGGTCAAGTCACGTATCGGCGGGAAAAAAAACAGACTTACAAAAAGGAACAAAGCTGCTGTATAGTCACACATTTGTCGCCTTAATTGAAAGCGCGAAAGCGACAGCTGAACAAATTTTCAGTTTTTATTCGGCTTCAGTCTCTATTTCCTTTACGAAAAATCATTTCACAAGCAGGGTCCTTTCGACCGTTATCATAAGGCCACAAAAAGGGTCCAATTTGGCCCTTGAAAATGCCAATAATAATTATAAATATATGCGACTGCTACCCACATCAAAGTGAAACCGCATTTGAGCCTGTGGGAAATGTAGGACAGGCCGCAATAAAAAGCCGCAAAGTGTGTAAATAAAAAAGTGAATAATATTGAAATATTACCTTGCTTTTGATTATGGCCATAGTGTCGGGAAATTACGAATATTTATACCTTTATATGCCAAAGTAGTAACTTAATTGAATTTTTTCTTAAGCGAACTTCGACTTTAGCTTAAAGCTAAGCTTCTTGGATGACACATTCGGAAATCTCGTACAATTTTACCCTCAAATGACAATGATTCCGTGCACCGAATTTCCTCGGGTTTTCAATTTCAATTACTATCGCTTTTATTTCAATTCATGTTCAATTTTTCCAGTTATTTTACAGCCATTGTCTGCGGCTAGGCGCCTTTGACTTGGACTCCTGCTCCTCCTGCTCCTCCAGCTGCTGCTGACATTGGCTTTTTATCGCAGATTTCTTTTGGTTCGCCGGCCCGTAAAATGCTCATGTGATTGCATTGTCTCCGTGATGCACAGGAAACAATTTTGAGGCGTTTCAGTAGGCCATATAAGTTGTCAAGTTCATTAGATCTCCAGAAAATTATTGAAACCCATTACTGATACTGATATGTAGCTTCAGAGTATGCTTATATCTTGGAAAGTTTTCTTTTTCTTGGAAATATAGGCAGTCCTGGGCTTTTCTTGCCGTGCACCATCGAAATGGCTGATTCAATTGGTAGATCTATTCGGTAGATTCCACGGAGACAACGCGGCGGCTGGACAATGCAGCAAATCCTCTTATCAAATTGTCATCGTCATTAAATCGCAATTAGCCAACACCACAGCGAAGGCAGTAACAACAATCTGTCGAGGATTTGGGGCGCCTCGATTGCTGACGACAGCAACTGGAAAAACAGAAAACTTTTAAGCGGAAACACGCGCCTGGCCAGCTGAACTTTGCTGCTCTGCGATGTCCTGCTCCTCGACGATTCTGAGACATCCTGGCTGCTTTCGCTGCCCGAGTCAAACTGAAATTGACTTAAGCGCTTTTGTCCACTTTCATTAGTCCAAAAGGGGAAGAGGAGCTGATGGTTCAGGACACAGGACTCAGAGCTCAGAGCTCAGGACTCAAGACGCTGGATCTCAGAACCCAGTCATTGACACCGCCGTTGTTTCTCATTCCATTTCTGTTTCAGCCTTCCGCCGCTCAACTTGGAGTAAATCAGCTTAGTGATGCCGCCCGATTTTCGCCTGTCAACGGGATATCCAGATGACGGATGATGGCATCATGTTCCAGTCGACTTCGTTTTTGTACTAGCAAATGCGGTCAGAAAATCAGTGTGGTAAACCTAATTGGGCTGCAATACACACGAATAAATACTACAAAATATGGATTGTAATTATTATAACATTACGATTATAATTATAATTGGACTTCCTATTTAATCTTGCAAATAAGTTAAGTTTAAAGCTATTGTTGTGACCGCAACTGTAGTTGGGCAGAGGCTACTGGATTTATGTCACGGAAGTTAAAGAAGACTAGGGCGTCCACCAAAATGGATCCCACTTGCCATTTGCATACCCAAGAGGCTCTCATAACGTCGGTCTCCTGGTTCTTAAGTGATAAGTGCGGTATATTCCTGGCATTCGCTACCCTGGACAGCTTGAAAACTTAAAGTAAATTCAACTTAAGTCTGCTGCTGAATTGCAGAACGGCAATAAGGCATTTGCCATGTTTTTCCATCCGACAAGAAGCGCAACAATCGCCACACAAACAGAGTGTATATAGCATATATACTTGGTGGAAGAGGCAGCCATTGTGGGTGGATTTTTTAGTGAGGCTTTCTCGCCGAGCATTTCCGCTGAATTATAAACATTTCTTTCACATCGCACTGCACGACGGCTGTGCCAGTTGGCCAAAACGTTGGCTCCAGCGATTTCGATTGCGGAATGTGGTCACATAGAGGCGGGAACGTGACGGACGGATATTGGCCAATCTCTGGGATACCCGTTTTATTTCTGGATGTCCAACTTCGCTGCAGAGCCAATTAAACAGAGTGCTTATGTGGCTAAAACTGAGAAAACCTCCCTAGGGGGAATCGCGCCGCATGACTGGTTATGTTTTTAATTGAAGATTTCAGTTTTTAAAATGTAAACATGACGAGCAGTTGCGAAAAAGCAATTTCTTTTATGAACGTAATTCAATAATTAAGCTAAAATAAAATACTGAGCTAAAATTAACTGAAATACGTATCAGTTAACTTGCTGTTAACCTGATCAAATGAAACAAACCCTTTAGAGACTATAATTTTAATATCTTTTCTCTAAAATAAACTAATCAAGGTAATTATCCACGTTCTAAGACCCATTTGCACTAGTTCCACAACTTTTGTGCACTTTTCCCACTCATAATCGGTTTGTCATTTTCCACGACTTTTCAACTACTTGCGGATATAGAGTGTTTAGTGCACACAACAGCACACGCAAAAGGATAAGTGGAAATTTTCACGCAAAGAACGTGACCATTTTCGTGTCTACGGTTTCTTTAGTCTCGTTTTTCCTGACGGTGGCTTAACGCTCAAGTTGGTATTATTCCAAGTTCAGAACAACAACAAATTGTTTCAGAACTTTGCAAAAAAAAACATAGTATTTTCGTGGTGCAGGAGCAAAACAAGTGAAAC